GTCCCCTAACTGCCCCCTCCTGAGACCCCCCACCTGTACTCTGACTGCCCAAAACCTTACACCCCCAACCCCCAGACAGCCCCCCCCGAACTCCTGACCCATCCAACCCTGCTCCCTGTCTCTTGACTCCCCCCCCCTCCGAACCTCCCTGCCGCTTCTCTGACCCCCGGCCCCCTTACTGTGCTGCAGAGCAGCGCGCTTGGCAGCGGGGGAGGGGAGCAGGGTCGGAGCTCCAGACTGCCGGAGGCAGAGGTGACAGCCGGCGATCTGTGAATGCAGGCGGGGGGAGGGAGGGAGAGGAGGGGAGTGGTCTCAAGTTGCAGGGGAGAGGAGGGGGGAAGTGGAGGAAGGGCTCTGGCTGCCGGAGCCCCGTGCGAGTGGCACCATCCGGCCGGCTGCCCTGTAATCCACGCACGCTCTGCAGTTTGGGGGGGGGGGGCGGAGGGGGGAAGTCCGGACATTGACAAATTCCCCCCGGACGCTATTTTAACTGAAAAAAGCCGGACATGTCCGGGGGAATCCGGACGAATGGTAACCCTATTCACTGCAGAACTCTGCCAGCTAACAAGTGGGACAGTTTCCTTCATCACGGACAACACCTCTTCTGCCCCTGCGCCTGAGGGCATGTTGCTTTCTGCTGGAAAGGAGCTAGTCTCAGCCCCTCCCATACTTGGAAGCACCCTGCTTCCCTGTGTTAGAGTCACAGGAATCCTCACCCACCTCAGTGGTTTCTGAGATTCCCTGCCCCTTCTCTGGGACACATTTCTCTCTGCTCCCTAGAGCTGGTTTTGCCTCTGGTTCAGCTGCAACCTGAATTCTCTGCCCCTCTGAACCCTGGCAGAACTATACACTCCACAGAGACCAGCAGTGCAAAGCTCACTAACTTAGGGATGGTATTTTCTTTCACTGTTTTGCAGAAAAATGAATGGCTGTGTTTGAACTGCCAAACTCAGAGGCTGCTAGAAGGAAGCCTAGATGATGCTGCTTCAATGCCACTACCTACTCCAAAGCAGCAGCCAACAGGATCCCCCCGACACCAACCAGGGGGAGCCGGTCAGCATAGAGGAGGCCCTCCGCCTGTAACAGCTCAAAAGTCAGAAACGTCCACTCCCCAGGACAGGCACTTCGTCCAAGGAAAGAATCTCAGGACTTCAGAGCAGAGCAAGCTGCAGGCCATGTTGCAAGAGAGCAAGCCCCCTGCCCCCTCAGAAGAAAAGCCACAGACAAAACTTCCTGCCGAGGCTCCAAAAGTTCCTGAAAGTGCATTGCCAAAGGGGAAAAGCATGGCTGTGAAGGCAGAAGCAGAGAGCAAAGCAAGCAAGGCAGTCACTGAGGCTCAGCAAGTGAAAGAGCAGGAGGTAAGCACGCCTTTCACCTCCTACCTCCCACTGGGCTAGCTTGTTCCTGCCAGGGTATAACATTGCCTTGTACTCAGAGTAGGCAGTGCCCCCTCTCACCTTAGGGAAAGGTCTGGGATGGCGGCATTAGCTAGCAGTCTGCAGGGGCCGGGGCAGGGGAACAGAAAGAACATGATAGCCTCAGAAAAACAGGGCCTTGGCCTTCAGGTCTGATCCAGTAGAGAGCTGGAGAAGGCATGTATAAATGACTGCACTGGAGAAGCGATGTCCCACGGCCCATCAGAAATGTGTCATGTACATTTTTGTCTAATGCTTTGATTCCAATCCTGATTTCTCTGTCAGCTCTTTGGAAATCACTGCACGATCCATTCTAGTAGGCAGTGTCCTTCAGACACCAGGCCCAAACAGCCGGGAAAGTCAGCAACAGGCTGAAGAGAAGGGAAATGTCTTAGGGTGACATTACAGGCTGCTTACCATCTCACTCAGATGGTTTCCCCCAGTGTAACTCCACTGACCTTAGCTGAGTTACTCCTGCTTTATGCGGGTGTTGGGGAATTGGGCCCAATGTCTCAACAGTGAAAGAATTCCAGGTAGATGAAATTATACAAATGAAAGAGTCACTAGTAGCTGCTTTGTGGGGAGCTGAATGATGGGCCAGAGGGCAGGTCAGTACCAGGCCAGGAGGGTACTGAAGAGCGAATGGGGGAGTAAGTCCCTGGAGCATTGAACCCCCAAGAGCCATGTGGAATTGGCTGCAGAGCTGTCTGGGAAGGGCGGATGGTCTGTGTGGTGCCAAATGGGCTGAAGGGCTAAGCTCTCATTTCTGAGATCAGGAGACTAGTCTGGCTGCAACCACCTCCTGGAGCAGGGATTTTGGAAGAGCACAGTCATAGAAGTGGGAAATGATACCAGCACAGAGGGGGGCGACTAAGGGTGTCAGCTGAGCCTGCTCAGGGAGGGGTAAACTCCAGGAGGATCCTAGACAGCTGTGACTTACCAATAGGAAGATCCGGGGACTCCAGGATTTCTGGCCTGGGCTAAGGAGAATGACAGAGACGTCCTTGTCACTGAACTTATTACCTGGAAGGAGCAATACAGTCTTTGGGCCTGAGGCTGATGGTGCTATCCCTGCTGTGAATCAGGAGTAATGCCAATGTGGTCAGAGCACTTATATGGTGTAAAACTGGTACATGGGAACCCCTGGAAGCAGTCACTGAGAAGTCGTGCTAGTGCTGGCAGGAGATGAAGTGGAGCAAAGAATGAGTCAGAGGAGGTGTGGCGCTAGGTGTCCTCCCCACAGAGGTGCCCCAGCATGAGATAATAGCTGGAGGTGAGAGCCTGGGACTGGGACCTGATGCACTTCCTAATGGCAGAGTTAGGTCAGGCCAGGCATGAACGTACTGCTGACAGCTGCATGCTGAGCAGCACAGAAAGCTGCATGAGCTGGTGCGCTGTTACATGTGCCTGCTGCTTCCCCAGGCAGCGTTCCAGTGGAGCGGAGCCATCTCCTGGGCAAACACTAAAGAAACCGATTTCACAAAGGGCTCCTTGCACAGATGGCTGTTGAGACATCTCTAGTTGATTAACTTCTGCCTGCAAACAGATTGGGGTCACTCTGTAGTGGCTGGGGGTCACCTCTTTTCACAAGTTACAGGTTGGTTCCCAGGTGGTCCATGTTCCACACCTGTTTGGGATCCCAGCTCAGAGTCCTTCCATGTCATTCCAGAGTCCTTCCATCGTGCCTAATTGTGGTGTCAATGAAACTGGGTTTATTTCTGTCAGTGGCTGACGAGGAACCTGCATTGTTTTCCTGGGATCACCTTGATTTTTCAGAGTGCTTTGCAGAACTCTCAGTCATTGAAATTAACAGGCATTCAATGGCCTCTGTCCCCAGAGGATGCTGCTAGTGAACCTTGTTTTCACTGCTTTTGTATCCAGCTGTGCAGGTGTCTAAGGCACAAGGACAGAGATCTTCAACCTCTCACTTTGCAGGGCAGCAGGACTAGTCCCTTCCTGAACTCAGATCTAATAACAGGTTCCCCAAGTTATAGTTGAAGATTAAAAAGCTCAGTGCTGAGGCTGGGCTTGTAGCTACTGCAGACTTTACAGATAAACACAGCACTCAGCTGAGCAGCAGTTGAATTTATCAAATGCCCTTTTGGCCCATTTGCAGCTCTAGGGAGTTTGGAGTGAAGGCGGCAGGGTTTGTATTACAGGCAAAATACTATCTTTGTCAGACAAAGAAAATGTCCATCATCAGGCATTGGCAGAGGAGGATAGCAGGTGGGACTGGCCCCAACAGTGCCAGAAACTGTAAGTAACGACACAGCTGGCCCAGGGGTCAGGATTGTCCTGCTCCTCTCTGTCAGCTATAGGGAGCTGTTGTTTAATGATTGCTGAGTCCCCAGGGCAGGAGAGGCCCTAATGCCACCTTGAACTTAGCAGCAAAGAGTCCTGTGGCACCTTATAGACTAACAGACGTATAGGAGCATGAGCTTTCGTGGGTGAATACCCACTTCTTCGGATGCATGTAGTGGAAATTTCCAGGGGCAGGTATAAATATGCAAGCAAGAGTGAGTAAGGCTAGAGATAACGAAGTTAGTTCAATCAGGGAGGATGAGGCCCTTTTCTAGCAGTTGAGGTGTGAACACCAAGGGAGGAGAAACTGCTTTTGTAGTTGGCTAGCCATTCACAGTCTTTGTTCAATCCTGAGCTGATGGTGTCAAATTTGCAGATGAACTGAAGCTCAGCAGTTTCTCTTTGAAGTCTGGTCTTGAAGTTTTTTTGCTGCAGGGATGGCTACCTTTAAATCTGCTATTGTGTGTCCAGGGAGGTTGAAGTGTTCTCCTACAGGTTTTTGTATATTTTGTATATATTTTGTACATTCCTAATATCTGATTTGTGTCCATTTATCCTTTTACGGAGGGACTGTCCAGTTTGGCCGATGTACATAGCAGAGGAGCATTGCTGGCACATGATGGTATATATTACATTGGTGGACGTGCAGGTGAATGAACCGGTGATGCTATGGCTGATCTGGTTAGGTCCTGTGATGGTGTCGCTGGTGTAGATATGTGGGCAGAGTTGGCATCGAGGTTTGTTGCATGGATTGGTTCCTGAGTTAGAGTTACTATGGTGTGGTGTGTGGTTACTGGTGAGAATATGCTTCAGGTTGGCGGGTTGTCTGTGGGCGAGGACTGGCCTGCCACCCAAGGCCTGTGAAAGTGAGGGATCGTTGTCCAGGATGGGTTGTAGATCACTGATGATACGTTGGAGAGGTTTAAACTGGGGACTGTATGTGATGGCCAGTGGAGTTCTGTTGGTTTCTTTCTTGGGCTTGTCTTGCAGTAGGAGGCTTCTGGGTACACATCTGGCTCTGTTGATCTGTTTCCTTATTTCCTCATGCGGGTATCGTAGTTTTGAGAATGCTTGGTGAAGATTTTGTAGGTGTTGGTCTCTGTCTGAGGGGTTGGAGCAGATATGGTTGTATCTCAGTGCTTGTCTGTAGACAATGGATCATGTGGTGTGTCCGGGATGGAAGCTGGAGGCATGAAGGTAGGCATAGTGGTCGATGGGTTTTCGGTATAGGGTGGTGTTAATGTGACCATCACTTATTTGCACTGTGGTGTCTAGGAAGTGGACCTCCCGTGAAGATTGGTCCAGGCTGAGGTTGATGGTGGGATGGAAGCTGTTGAAATCATGGTGAAATTTTTCCAGAGTCTCCTTCCCATGGGTCCAGCTGATGAAGATGTCATCAATGTAGCGTAGGTAAAGAAGGGGTATGAGTTGACAAGAGCTGAGGAAGCGTTGTTCCAGGTCAGCCATAAAAATGTTGGCATATTGTGGGGCCATGCAGGTGCCCATAGCGGTGCCACTGGTCTGGAGGTATATATTGTCATCAAATTTGAAATAGTTGTGTGTGAGGATAAAGTCACAGAGCTCAGCAACCAGTTGTGCTGTGGCATCATCAGGTATACTGTTCCTGACAGCTTGTATTCCATCTGTGTGTGGGATGTTTGTGTAGAGAGCCTCTACATCCATGGTGGCTAGGATGGTGTTTTCTGGAAGGTCACCAATGCATTGTAGTTTTCTGAGGAAATCAGTGGTGTCACGGAGATAGCTGGGAGTGCTGGTGGCATAGGGTCTGAGTAGGGAGTCCACATATCCAGACAGTCCTTCAATGATGGTGCCAATGCCCGAGATGATGGGGCGTCCAGGATTTCTGGGTTTGTGGATCTTGGGTAGTAGATAGAATAACCCCGGTCAGGGCTCTAAGGGTATGTTGATTTGTTCCTGTGTTAGTGTAGGGAGTGTCCTGAGTAGATGGTGCAGTTTCTTAGTGTATTCCTCAGAGGGATCTGAGGGAAGTGGCCTGTAGAATTTGGTATTTGAGAGTTGTCTGGCAGCCTCCTTTTGGTAGTCAGACCTGTTCATGATGACAACAGCACCTCCTTTATCAGCCTCTTTGATGATGATGTCAGGGTGGTTTCTGAGGCTGTGGATGGCATTGCGTTCTGCACGACTTAGCTGCTATGACAGTCCCTCCGTAAAAGGATAAATGGACACAAATCGGATATTAGGAATGGCAATATACAAAAACCTATAGGAGAACACTTCAACCTCCCTGGACACACAATAGCAGATTTAAAGATAGCCATCCTGCAGCAAAAAAACTTCAGGACCAGACTTCAAAGAGAAACTGCTGAGCTTCAGTTCATCTGCAAATTTGACACCATCAGCTCAGGATTGAACAAAGACTGAATGGCTAGCCAACTACAAAAGCAGTTTCTCCTCCCTTGGTGTTCACACCTCAACTGCTAGAAGAGGGCCTCATCCTCCCTGATTGAACTAACTTCATTATCTCTAGCCTTACTCACTCTTGCTTGCATATTTTTACCTGCCCCTAGAAATTTCCACTACATGCATCCGAAGAAGTGGGTATTCACCCACGAAAGCTCATGCTCCTACACGTCTGTTAGTCTATAAGGTGCCACAGGGTT